AAAACTATATATAGTTAACTCTTTCAGAATTGATATGCATAGTAGACAAGTTTTATATCAGCTTTAAGAGATTATCAGATTTGAAAACATAGCAAACTATTAGATTTATATAACAGAAACAGACTTGGTAGATTAATTTTTTATCAGATTTGACAAGTTATTAGCTTCAACAAGATTAGTCTCGAGAAGGTCAACTGTACTATATTAGAATTACTTAGCTAAATTACTAAGATTAGAATACATTTATTTATCACTTAGAATATTTTTTACTCTTATAATCAACTAATCAACATAAAAACAAAAAACATTTTTTAAAAAATATTATTATTTTTTATTAAAAATACTTTTATTTAAAAAATTACAATAAAAAATATAATATATTCTATATATTATATTAAAAAAATAAAAATAAAAAAATTCAAATTCTTATATTTATTCTTTCCAATTCTAAATTTCTACTAGATGAATGCTTATATTCATCTTTTCATCTCTAATTCGATTAAACTAATAAAAATTTCTTAACTGGGTTATGCATTTTCTATCACTACAAATTCTCTATAAAAAACTTTTGTAGTTATTGTCAGCATTGTCCAAAAAAATATTTGGAATAGGGTTAATTTTTTGAACAAAAAATCGAATAATTTCAGAATTTTTTGAACAATTTCAAGAAATTTTTTTTATAAGAATTCTTGAAAATAAATAAATGCCTTATTCTCATTCTTTTTAGCTTCAATTTCTTTGTCAAATGTTTTCTGTCTTAGAGTTAATTCTTGGATTTAGATTTAATCATTTATATCTGGATTTAATCATTAGATCATTAAATCCAAATTTAGCTATTAAATCCAGATATAGGTATAAGATCCAGATTTAAATATGCAGGCATATTACCTCTGTTTATTCACAAGTCTGTTTCAGACATATAGTAACAATACTGAATATTATTATTAAATCTGGATCTTACAATTAAATCTGGATCAAACTATGAAATATGGATTTAACAATTACAGCTGTTATCATAAATTCTAAGACAACTGGAAATTTCTAATAACTGAATTCAATAAGTTTTTAAGTTCAGCTGAAGTTAGTTATTTATTGATTTTGACTAGGTAACTTATCGAATTTGATTATTAGAAATTTTTCAGTTGTCTCAGAATTTATAAGAACAGTTATAAATCTGGATTTAATAATTAAATTCAGATATAAATAATTAAATCTGGATCCAAGTATTAACTCTATTTATTCCTTCATTGTATGCTTTCTGTTCATCCTTTTCAACTTCAATACCTTTGTCGAATGTCTTCTGTTTATCCTTTTAACTCCAATTCATTTTTTGAACACCTTCTGTTCATCTTTTCCAATTCATAAAAATATTCAAAATTAATGTTCCATTAGCAAACCCATCTCTGCTAATGTTTGATAATATATGAATACTTTATGCTTATCTATTCTATCTCAAATTCCATTAAATTAATATAAATTTTTTATCTATGCTATGTATTTTTATCACAGCAGATTCTTTGAATATCTTATGTTCATTCTTTTTATCCTGTAAAAAAATTTTTCTGAATATCTCTATTATTTTTCCATATTTTTGTAAAAACTCAGTGAATCTGCAACATAAAATGATGAAATCTAGACAGACTGAATAATCTCTATAATTTGAGGTTATAAATTTTGTAATATGCAGTATTTATAGAAAAAACATGAAATGTAAAACATAGATTGACTTTTTTTATAGGGCCAACTCCAATTTTCTTGTCGAATGCCTTCTGTTCACCCTTTTCAATTCCAATATCTTACCTTTGTTATAAAAATATCCAACATTTATGTTCTATTAGCATAACTCTTCTTTGCCAATTTTTGATAATATATAAAGTTTTCTTTCCACTTCTAATTTTATTAAATTATTACAAATTTCTTACCTAGGTTATGTGCTCCTTATTTTTTATTACTACAGATTCTTGAAAATAAATAAATACTTTATATTAATTCTTTTCAACTTCAATTTCATTATCAAATGCCTTCTGTTTATCCTTTTCAACTCTAATTTCTTCATTGAATGTCTTTTGTACATCTTTCTCAACTCCAACACCTTTATCATAAAAATATCCAATATTAATATTCCAGTAGATCACCAATCTCTGCTAATATATGAATGCTTTATGTTATTCTTTTTACTTTCAATTTCATTAAATTAATACAAATTTCTTACCTAAGTTATATTATATGTTTTATTAGCATTTTTATTGCTGCAGACTCTTAAAAATAAATAAATATCTTTGTTTATCTTTTTAATTTTAATTATTTTATTATAAAAATATCCAATATTAATAGTTTCACTATTGTCACTTATCTCTATTGATTTTGAATAATAGATGAATGCTTTATGTTCATCTTTTTCAATACCAATTCCATTAATCCAATTTTTTTTTACTATAATTATAGGTTACATTAATGTTTTCATCTTTACTAAATTCTATTTAATAATAAATTTTTATCTGGATTTATATGTTCCATCAGCATTCATCATCTTTACAAATTTTTAAAATGAATAAATGCCTAGTCATTTATTTTTTTAATACCAATTTCTTTATCATAACAATATTTAACTTTAAATATTCTACTAAATTTTACCTATGTCTACTAATTCTTGAATAATAGATGAATATTTTATGTTCATTCTTTTCAAATTTCAGTTATATTAAAACATCAATTTTCTTATTTAGACTTGTATGTTCTATCAACATTTCCTATTCTCAATTTCTGCAGATTTTTTGGAAATGAATCAATCTCTTATATCCATCCTTTTCACCTTCACTTTTCTTCATCATACATTATTAATGCTAAAATAGTCAGCATAGCATTCTTGCAAAATACATCTACCAATACTCAACAGCAAAGTTCATCAATAAATCCAATAACCAATAGATATGAAAACACACCAACAAAAAATCCACTGGACAGGACTCTAAAATCGACACATCTAACAATTATATTTTTAACTCTTTGTAACATTCAGCTTCTTCATAATATAAGTTATAATAACAAGATTCAAAACTTACCTTCAGCAAATTTCAAATATACTCAAATGTCTTTTCTTTCTCTATAACAGTACCTACACCATAGTAACAACAACACCCAAAACTTCTACTCATGCTTTTTTTCATTCTTTGCATTCAAAAAACTTTACATTGTAAGAATATCCAAAGAGAAACCAGTAAGTTACTATAAAAATGAATGAATATTTAAGAAAAAAACCTATTGCTTCATTTTTGCATATACCTTCTTCTATAATATATATCAAAAATGAAATCCAAGATCTTTGTGTATAATGGAAAGAGTCACCAATCTTGAGGAAAGGCCTTATAATAACTAAGGAACCTAAGTGATAACAACAAAGGAAGATTTGACAATTCATACTTCACAACCAAAAGCAAAATAATCTAAAAAAAAAAAAGGTAATAATTGTAACAGATCATAATGAAATCAGAAATATATATAATATAAAATAAAATTCATGACAATAATTGCGCAAGTATAATAATCTAGAAAAATCTCTATTAGATAGTGAATCAACATCTGCACGGTAAATCTATTTTTAAATTATAGCGTTAAAAGTTTTTAACCGTTGTATCGCAAAAATTTATTAATTAATCAGACTTTCATTATTAAGTAAAAAAGATTGGGTTTTAAATTTTACACCTGATCAATCAAACAGGTTAATTTTCAAAAAAATGTCAAATTCCTTGGTTTCTACTTTTGACGGCCCATATATTCTCTACAGCTAATATATTTGATTTATTTAAACAACGATTATTAATAAAATTTTCAAAAGGTCTGGTCAAATTCATAGCTCAAAAATTTTATTAATAATCATTGTTTAAATAAATCAAATATATTAGCTGTAGAGAATATATTTGGAAAATTTTAGAATTATTTGTTGATTAATTAGCAATTATTTTTTAGTGGTTTAGGATTGGTCCGGATTTGGCCAGCATGTATAAACACAATAGACTGTATCAACCAATAGGTTATTATTCGGCGAGTAGACTAAGAGCAGAATTCTGCCACCGCAGATCTCTGAACACCCTAAAGTTAAGCTGCAAAGAGTTAAGAACAAAATTATTTCAGCTTTAATAGGCCAAAAAATATATATATACTGTATATAGAAATTGTGTTTATAAACAATCGATTAGTACGTAATTATTTACAAATTTTATTTTGAAAATTTTTTATTGTAAATAAATACGTATGCAATTAAGCATTTGATAAATTCCAATTTTTTGCATAAACAAATACATATTGCAAATAAATTTGTTGTAGATAATAACAGATTATAAAAAAAAATTTGTTTATCAAAATCGTTTAACAAATTCTAAATAAGAGTGATAGTGATTATAATGCAATTGAGATTATATAGAGGTATTTTTGTTATGAAATCATATTTTGGTGTGATTGTGGTGATTGTATGAGTGACTATTAGAATAATTATAAATACAAAAAACCTGACTTAGTGAAATTTTGAATTTTTATTAAAACGTTATTTAATTATATAATTATTTCGGGTGTCAAATAATGCTCATAAGCGTTGTTTCAGAAATTGTATCCTTTTAAAAACATATATGGGTTCAGAATAACTCCCGAAATAATGGCATTTTGCATAACATACATCGTTGGATTTGGTATATGTTTCGAAGTAACAAACAGGGATACGACTACCGGTAAATTCGATTTTTGCTTAAAGAACACAGCAAAAAACTGAATTAACAATTCTCTTATAGCTATATGTAATAAAGATTTGAATTTTTATTAAATAATTATTAAAATGTTAAAGAATATGTGAAAATTCTAAAAAAGTCTTATCTGTATCTTTTTAATTAAATTAAGTAATTTTTCTTCAAAAATTTACATAAAAATTTAGGTATGCCAGCTCTGATTAACAAGTACAATTAGAAAGAAATGCCCCTTGCCTGGTAATAGTTTATAATCGATTATAATCGCTATGAATGAATATATATCATTTCTTCACCACTATAAACCACTCGAACTGATGATATATCTCCGCTAGAATTTTTTCTTGAGAAAACTCGTTTGAATGGTAAACTAAGCTGAAAAAATTTCCATCGAATGTACTTAATACTTCTGGCAAAAATATTTATTAATTTCCAATGAATTGCAACAGACGGTGAGTATTGCCCACCTTCTATTCTTCCATAATCTGGACCACTATCTCTCGAACCTCGCCAAAATGATGAAAGAAAACGTGAATACATGGATCCAGAATCTCGTTTTTTTGATGAATTCTTGCGTGAACACATATACCATACTAGAATAAAAATTATTATTAAAGACAAAAGTCCGATGATCCATTCTACCATGAAATTATAATAACCAAGTATGCCGTGGTGTTGAGGGTTTGGTGGTGGTTTTGGACGTGCATCTAATACCAAAGGTATTGTGCTTGAAGCTTCTAAAACAATTTTACCCAAAGTCCAACTAACTTGCATATCATTGATATCATTAATACTCTGAAAAATAGGTGATTCACCCATACTTCCAGAGTTGATGGATTTCGGGATACCAATTCCATTATGTAGCACATTCACTAACCATGCGGCTTTGAAACATTGCAACTCCAAGCGAGGAAAATCAGATGAAGTCGAACTCAACACATCCTTATGATAATTACTTATGATCTTGTCCCAATTATTCGAACAATAATCAATGGCTTTCTTTTCAAAATTTTTATAATCCCATTTACCACCTAGGTCAAATATGTCATGAGAAGTATACCAATATTCTGATATTCCAATGAAGTGGTTAACGGTGAAATCAATATTTGGGGTATGAACACCATTAAATAAACAAGGTTCGTCGGAGCATGTAACGGATTTATTTAATAACGGGTAGGTATAATTTAAACAAAGTTCAAATTTCCCTGTTCCCTGAAAAGTATATAGTGGAGGTGGTAAAGTTGTATCAGTAAGGAGAAGATCGACTGGCAAACAAGGATCCTTTATCAAAACGTTAGGCTGTTCACGTGAATTATCTGGATTCGCAATCTTTTCGTGGGTGGAAGAATAATTTCCAATACGATCATCGATATAACGACGGCGTGCTTCGTTCGTTCCATAACCCAAAAATGTGGTCACAAATACTTTATATTCCATCTGTTGACCGTCCAAAGTCCAAAGAAAGACTGAAGTCAAGTCATTTGCGTGTTTCTTTGATTCTTCCAAATTAGGTTCAAAAGCAATTTGTGTGCTAGCACCACCCATATCCAAGAAACCAAAAGTGGTTATATGATTAGTTGGGCTAGAATCATTATCATATGATTGTTTTAATTGTAATGAATTGACCACTTTATGTTCTCCTTTGTCTTTTTCGAATCCTCCCATCAAATAATTTACAGCAACCCAACCATATAAACCCTCTTTTTCACCTGAAATGACTTGGACATGGTCAGAACATTTGTCCATCATTTTGAATCGATTTTGAAACATTATATAATCGCACGCACTCTGAAGTATAGCAGTTTGTTGTTGGGGAGGCAACAAACGCATTCCAGCAGTAGCGAGTAAATATATTGGTGTATTGGAGACTTCATCTGGTGGAACAACCTCCAATGCAAAATCTATTAACTCTTTCAAATGTTTTTCGCCTACTTGAGTTGGATTCAAAGCGAACGAAGATATTCCTGTGGAATTGATTCGAGGATTAGCCTAACGTTTGAATACATCATCCCTTGGAAGTATCGAGATCTTTCAACTATGTTATGTAACCTTCAGCTCTTTTAGCTTTTATAACAAAATAGAGCTCCGAGCACTGTTTATTTTACCTGGTTCGACTTTTTTCTGCCATTTTACTCCGAACTCATCTCCTCGTTCAATGGTAGGCAAGATGTGAAGGTTCTTTGGATCCTTGCCCTTTCTTACGAAGTCATGTTCTTTCCAAGAGTATATTTGAATCCTTGATCCGGAACTTCCAGCGTCTATGACTACACCATAGTTCCTATTTAATGACCAAGAGCTTGTTAGGGATGGCATAACTTCTATCTATTCTATATTACAAATTATATCGAATGTGTTACAATAAGCGCATGGCTTGTCATTTTATTTTTAGGTTACACGATTATTTGCATTGTTTCGCAAAGTAAAACTTGAAACATTGGGAGATAAGAACGGGACCTTAACATGTATATACAGGACTTACAATTTACGTATAATTATATCTTTAATTATCAAGCTATGGGAGACTTCGCCTTAAACTATATAAATATATATCGATATGGACTAAATAATTATATTATAAACATATCGATATACTAATATTTATAAGTTCCTTCCAACTTTCTTTTCAGGTGCTCACCAGCGGTTATGTTATTGCCACCTTTTTCATCCGCAACCAAGAATCGGCTAGGAATCGGGTCTAACCCTACGTCATCTTCAGCATGACAAAAATAAGCAATACTATATCTATCCTGGTTTAAAGTTTCTTTGTGAAAGACTACACGATGCTTAGTGGATTTGAATAATCCTTGACTCCAAAATTCCAATAGATCACCTATATTGATTAATATACAATCTGAAAGAATGGGGACTGGTATCCAATTCATATCTGCGGATAGAACTTCAAGACCCGCAATTTCTTTTTGAAAAAGGATGGTTAGTGAACCATAGTCTGAATGGCTACATGAAAAAAAAACGTTATTCAGAGAATTTAATTAATTTACACTAGAGATCTGCGAGTCCCGTGCTTAACAAACATGGGCGCAGTTGCACAAAATGTTAAAATCGGTCCACCTGATATCAACCTGATTGTTAACCGATTATTGCAGACCAGTATAGTATAGGTGAGCCAAATTTTAGAACCTATACCATACTGATCCGGTGTTGTTATATATATTAGCGTTAGGGTTAGGAATTATAGCTGATCAGTATAGTATAGCTTTTACTTCCTTTTAATTTTAATTTTGTCCATACTATCTGCTCACCTATACTATACTGATCTGCTATAATTGCCTTTTTTTGTTACAAAAGTTGACATAAATCAAGCAGAAATCAGTTAACAATCTGATTAAAATCAGGTACCCGATTTTTCACCGAAACCTTTGCGCCCGTGGTACAGGCAACCTCGCAAGGGCATGATGCCTAATATGCCTGACATAGGCATTCGCAGATTCTAATTTACATTATACCTGGTTACTATATCAAGATCACAGGGATAAATCAGTTATACCCTGGGTACTATGCGGAAATTTCATTTCCGCTTATACCAAACTACCCAGGATATAACTATTACCTATTAATTTACCTTCCAGCACGAATATCTTCAGAATCAACTTTATTCACAGCAGGATAGTGAAGAATTCTTAAAATATCTCCTGATTCCGCTTCATATCTATGTCTTCTCTCAAACCAATACTGTCCTCCATCAGCTTCATTAATTTCAAGTGCAATGGCAAATGCTTGTAGTACTTTCATGCATAATTTATGACAAGACTATTAAAGTAAAAATATTGTCATGAGACACGGTCAAATTTAATAATATTCATAAATTACCTTCATAAAAGATTCCAACGCAATCAAATTCTCTTCAAATAATAAGGGAAGTTCTTGTACCACTTTTCCATCATGGATCTTTCCGAAGTTAAATGATCTTTCCATAGAATATTATACATATAAGCCAATATGAGAAAACAATAGAATAAAATTCTTTTATCCTTAATATAGGACATACTCTTTGAAATCCCTCTTTGGATTATCTGGATCAAGTGTCTCTTGTTGCACAGCAGCATATCCTTTGTTTTTTACACTTGTTATTCCATATTTGGATTTCTCTTTAAGTGAAAGGTTAAAAAATTCTTTGCTCTTTAAATGAATAATAAAAATTAATTACAAATGATAATTCGAGTTTTTAAAATTTTGACGGATATGATACATTTTTAAACATATTATCAATGTTTTCATGTTCAATTCCATGATTTTTCAAGAAAAAAAATCCAATAGATTCACTTGCTGTTTTAATTTGTTTCGAACAACTGAATGGATCTGTTTCAAATAGCGAAAAATCTATTATCGGAATTGTCATAGTTGAAAAAATCTGCTCAAATTTGAGTTTTCAAATTTGAGTTTTATTTAACGTTAGTGTTAGTGACACAAAATAACCACATTTACATATCGATAACAATATTGATAACATCGATATTGCCCAAGTACCTGCGTGCGTGCACGTAATTCCCTTACAATGTGTCAGCAATGAGTTAGATCCGATAATAGTTGATTATATTTAGATCTAGAAATTACATTTACAATAAGAAATATAAGTTAATTTATAGAGATACGTTCTAATTGTCTAATTAAAAACAATTTACAGTATAACCTTGATATAACGAACCTCAATAAACCGAAAGTGCTATTATAACGAATATTTTTTTCAGCTAGAATTTTATAGTTTAAAATTACCTCAATATAACGAATTTTAATTATAAAACCTCGGTATATCGAATTATGAAACAATTTATAAGAAAACTACCTTGATATAACAAATACCTTAATAAAGCAAAATATTAAGTAAATATTTATTATATAACAAAATTTGTGTAACTTAATCAAAGTGTAATCAAAGTATAATCAAAGTATAAATTTTTTTTTTACTTGAATTTTACATTGTCTTTTTTTTCAGTATAAATACAGTTATAAATAAATGATAAATTGAAAATGAGTTTAATAATACTCAAAAGAAAAAAAGAGTTACCTTGATTAATAGTCAATAGTATAATTTATGTTTTTTAAAAAAAATAAACCTAGTAGTAAAAATCAGGAACTTGTAGTCAAATTTGGAATTAGTAAATCTTGTAACAAGATTTTAGCAAAGTCAGACTACTAGTTATCTATTGTTCTAATTTCTAATGATGTAAATAATAAATGAATCAAAAAATTTGGTTTTGTAAATGTTGAGTCAGTTATTGTATTTTGGGTTAAATATATAATAGGAAATAAGCAAATCTTAACTGGTTATCTTATTTAAATAAGACAAAAAAATTTACTTAATCACTAAATAAAGATAAGTTTAATGTATTAAATAAATAATTGTATAATTTAAGTAAAGACATAATATTTATAAATACAAATGCTAAATTAAAATTGATAATAAATTTTTAAAAAAATTACCTAAATTTTAAAATAAATTAGTATTATTTAATTATATTAGTTTAACAATATTTTTTATTATAATAAAATTAGTTTATATTATAAATTAGACTATCTTGTATATTAGTAATAAGAACTCTAATAAGGCATACAATGCATTAAATCTTAAATAACCTAGAAATATCTAGTTATAACACAAATAGTTTTATTTAAGCTTTTATTTCAAATTACATCAATAAGCAAATACTATTAGATATAATAACTAACAAGATTCTAGCACTATTTAAAAATAACAAATACAAACTTAAATATGTATCTTTTATTTATTTATTTTTTTTTTTAGTATTAAGGTGACCTCTTTGGTTTTTTGATTTTTATTAATCACTTATCGGTATTGTGGTTCAATAAACTACTATAGAAAAAAGTACAATTGGCTATATGTATAACTTTTCTATATTACCTATTTAAGGAGTCTGCCTGAAGGTTTCTTATTAATTGCTGTACCTAACATCCCTGCTTGGATGTTCTACTTTAAACTCTCTGAATCTGTAACTTGTGTTAACTTATTAGGTTATATTCAGATATTCAGATCATCGTTTCAACCTTAGAACTAATTTATTCTCAAGATAAACCACCTAGAGTCTTCTGTACTCATTTTTACAGCTGACCTAAATATTGCTATAGCAGAACTAATACTTGCGGTCAAGGTTAATCATTAAACTACTATGTTTTTGTAGAGTTCACTTAGATCCCAGCATCTACTTTACAGCATAACTCTGGTACTTTAGTATATCTCTGCCTTTTTACCTGCCTTTTTACCAAACTTCTAATTCAAATAACCTGTATAGGACTATGACCAGTTTATCGATATATTAAGTTAGCCCAATATTCTTTTTCTCTAATTTGTTTCAGTAGCCTGGTTGGTAATACTCCTAAGACTTCCAACCTAGAGGTTTTTGCCTATTCAGCTACTATGACCAGGTACTATGATCTTGATATCTGTTTCTTCAGGCTAGCTTTTATAGTAGAGCTGTTAAAGATTCAGCTACATCTCTACTCAGATCTTCCCAAATAGACTTCTTGTTATCTAATTTCAACAGATTTACATTGTTATAGAACGATTTATTATTATTTTATTATTAGTTATTATTATTATTATTATATTATTATTATTTAGTAT